GTAACATTATACATGTCTTTATCATCACTTTTGATCAATTTAAAGCATCCTTGCTTAATAAAAGTATGAATTTCTATAATTTCTTTCCCATTTTTACTGCTGCAAAGAAAAGTAGTTTCAATGGCACAGAAAGTTGCATAATTTGATGTAAACAATAGTTTGTTTTTTCTTGGAATAACATGCAGCAGTAAATCATTCACAAAGACTAGCAATGTGCACTAAAAAGTAAATAGGGTCCATTATAAATTCATGTTGATTTTTAGAACAATGCAAGTCAATGGAAGTCAAGTATAGGTGAACACATCTGCATGCATCTGCTCTCTCCTCATGATCCTCTTCCTCCTGTAGGTGCAGGGCGTTTGAGGAGGGGGACGTGACTCCATGTTCATTAGTCCTGTGGAGGATGGAGCTGATGCGAGCGTGGAGAGACTTCACACACAGCTCTGTTCAGCTGACGCTGGCCTGCGGGGTTTTCGCCACACTCGCAGTTTTTGTATTCGCTGTGCTGTTACGAACTCTTCTGGGTAAAACATCCATCACTAAAGCAAACATTTTTCCTGACCATTTCCACCCTCTCACTCCAAAAATTATCAAAATGCTTTCATAAAAGTGGTCCATATCTTATGACATGTATTATATACTATAGACATGTTACCTTGTTATAAAATGAAAACATTTATGAAAATATTGAGTCAGCTGATAAATTATTAATCAGTCAATCAATTGATTAAAAAATTATGTTTTACCATCAGCATGTTACTCTGCGCTTTACCTATCAACCAGCCAATCATCAGAGAGACACGATGAACCTGAACTTCCCGGGCAGGAAATCAGCGACAGTCCTCTGGAGACCAGAAGAGAAAACCAACAGCAGAGTTACCAGCCTACAGTCGCACACAATCACCTTTCAGTGCAGAAAACCTCTGATTTAATCGTGACAGTGACTGGAGTGTGTGCATGTGTCATCTTTATCATGTTCATTTCCCATCTGCTTTGAAAAGAACACACGACTATATCCTTCAATAGGTTATAAATCAGCCGTCACTATCGATCAACACTCTTCAACTCAGGTTACTGCAGGAGAACTGAACCAGTATATATGCACCTTAAGTTGATTTGGATAAAAGCATGAACAAAATGACCAGTCAGGTTCTCAGTAACCTGTGTTGTTTGCACTCAGATTCATCTACTTTCTTTAGGTGAAATAAAGTTTGAATACAAGAATGTTTGCAGTGCAAATAAATGTCACATGATACGTGACGGTTTATGGGCTTACATTTCTGCCACAATTCTGCGCGCGAAAGATCATATTTTGAGCGCACAAAAGTGCATTTTGCACACGCGCGCTCGAAATACTTTTTTCTTTGCGAAACGAACATTTTCTCCACAAACTCAGATCGCGCGTGTGCAAAATGCACTTTTGTGCGCTCAAAATATGATCTTTCGCGCGCAGAATTGTGGCAGAAATGTAAGCCCATAACGGTTCTCTTTTTCTTTCATCTGAATAGCTACAGTCTGTTTCATACTGCAGTGTGTAAGTAGTGTGTGTTTTTACAGTTCACACTGAACAGCAGAAAACATTTTGAAATGATACATATTTACTAACATAATCTTTTACAATATAGGGTTTTATGAAGCAACAAATAACTAACTCCTGTTTTTATTAACTAAGTTTAAGTAGTATTTGGTTATAAATGTGTATGTCCTCCTCTCATAAGTTTTCACACCTATTAGGTTTAACATTGATTTAAGGGCTTCTGTGACTTGGATCTTTACGTGGGAAAGTAGGCAGATCTGTTGTCAGTTATAAACCTCGAGAGGGTGCCACAGCTCAGGAATGGCTAATCTGAATTTGAGTTATGTTTTTTTTTTTTCATCTTGAGATTACTATTCTCATCTTGACTTCGTTTTATTTTCTGCACAAGTTGCAAGAGGTTATTTTGTGATAATTCTGCATCCTTGAAAAGAGGCTTAATATATTCACTGCCAAGCACGAACAGGACTTTTTTTTGTTTTATTTCTCCTTTTGTGTTCCAAAAAACAGAGCCAATCAGATTTGAGGACCAGTTGTATAAATACATATAATTGATGATTTATATAATGCCGATAATTAATGAGGCCTATACATGGGTTCAAACAGAGTGTAGTGTTTACAGGCCTTATTAATTATTGCCATTATACATTTAAATTGGATGAAAATGAGGCTGTGAGGGATAGACTTACAGTCTTTATAATGGTACAGAGGTACTATGTACTGAAAATAAGAATCATCATTTTAGAAACTAACAACTTTCAAAAATGTTTTTGTATAGCCTTCTGAAATATGCATTTATTGTTTGTTTCGTCAGCTGAACAGTTGACATATGCTGTTAAACAACACTACAACCCACACTGAATTCATACTTCAATCCCTCAAAGTCAAGTCACGGTTATTTATATAGCGCACCATATAGATTGTGTCAAAGCAGCTTTACAGTATTAAACACGAAAATAGTGTGTTGAAGGAACCAAAACTTCATAATTTTCCTCTGGCTTGATGAAACCAGCAGTTTAATTCCAGGCTGCAACAAAGTCAGATTATGCACAGGGCTCATCTGGTTCCCGTGGTCTTGTCCCGATGGCCGTCTAGTGACAAGGTCTTTTCACTGGGGATCTGTCTCTGGGGCTCATCTAGTTGACATGGTCTCCGCTGACATTCAGTGCTGTCGAGGTCATCTCTAGGTGCTGATCCACCATCTGGGCTGGATATGGACTGGATCCGGGTGACTGCAGTGACCATCTGATCTGGATACGGACTGGATGTGGGTGGCTATGGTGACCTTGGAATAAGAATGAAACAGACTGATATTAGCGTAGATCAGGGTTTCTCAACTCTGGCCCACGAGGTCCATTTTCCTGCAGAGTTCAGCTACAACCCTAGTCAAACACACCTGAACAAGCTAATCAAGGTCTTTAGGATCTCTAGAAAGTTACAGGCAGGTGAATTTGATCAATGTTTTTAGCTAAACTCTGCAGGAAAATGGATCTCGCAGGCCAGAGTTGAGAAATCCTGGTGTAGATGCCATTCTTCTTACAATGTAGCAAGTACATCGGATGTTATGGGAAGTGTTCCCGGTTCCGGTTGACCTAATTAATGCAGCCTAACAATCCTTAAACGGATTTAAATTATAAAAATGCAGTGGTGTGTTGTGTGTAAAGAGATGGGCCTTTAATCTAGATTTAAACTGATAGAGTGTGTCTGCCTCCTGAACAATGTTAGATAGATTGTTTCAGAGTTTTGGCACTAAATAGGAAAAGGATCTGCCGCCCGCAGTTGATTTTGATATTCTAGGTATTAGCAAATGGCCAGAGTTTTGAGAATGCAGTAGACGTGAAGGACTATAATGCGATAAGAAGTTGCTCAAGTATTTAGAAGCTAAACCATTCATGGCTTTACAAGTAATTAGCAAGATTTTAAAATGTATATGATGTTTAATAGGGAGCCAGTGCAGTGTTGACAGAACCGGGCTAATATGGTCATGCTTCCTGGTTCTAGTAAGAACTCTAGCTGCTGCATTTTGGACCAGCTGGATTTTGAGCAACCACCCAATTTAAAGCATTACAATAATCTAACCTTGAGGTCATGAACATTGAGCGCACACATTGTAATTTAGAGATATTTTTGAGATTGAAATGTGGGTTTACAAATGCTAGAAATGTGGCTTTCAAAGGAAAGACTGCTATCAAACAGCACACCTATGTTCCTAACTGATGACGACGAATTGACAGAGCAGCCATCAAGTGTTCTAGGTTATTACATGCAGAGGTTTTTGGTCCAATAATTAACACCTCTGTTTTTCCAGAATTTAGCCGTAATAAATTACTAGTCATCCCATTCATGGCTTTACAAGTAATTAGCAAGATTTTAAAATGTATATGATGTTTAATAGGGAGCCAGTGCAGTGTTGACAGAACCGGGCTAATATGGTCATGCTTCCTGGTTCTAGTAAGAACTCTAGCTGCTGCATTTTGGACCAGCTGGATTTTGAGCAACCACCCAATTTAAAGCATTACAATAATCTAACCTTGAGGTCATGAACATTGAGCGCACACATTGTAATTTAGAGATATTTTTGAGATTGAAATGTGGGTTTACAAATGCTAGAAATGTGGCTTTCAAAGGAAAGACTGCTATCAAACAGCACACCTATGTTCCTAACTGATGACGACGAATTGACAGAGCAGCCATCAAGTGTTCTAGGTTATTACATGCAGAGGTTTTTGGTCCAATAATTAACACCTCTGTTTTTCCAGAATTTAGCCGTAATAAATTACTAGTCATCCAGTTTTTTATATCAACTATGCATTCCGTTGTTTTGTCAGTTTTGCAAATTGGTATGCTTTGTCGGGCCGTGAAGAAATATATAGCTGAGTATCATCAGCATAACAGTAAAAGCTAACACCATGTTTCCTGGTGATATCTCCAAAGAGTAACATGTAAAACGTGAAAAGCAATGGTCCTAGTACTGAGCCTTGAGGTACTCCATACTGCACTTATGATCGGTATGATACCTCATTATTCACTGCTACGAATTGATGGCGGTTAGATAAGTAAGATTTGAGCCAAAGCATTTCCACTAATGCCAACATAATTTCCTAGTCTATTCAAAAGGATGTTGAGGTTAATAGTGTCAAATGCAGTGCTAAGATCCAGTAGCACTAATAGAGAGATACAACCATGATAGGATGATAAGAGTAGGTCATTTGTAACTCGGATGAGAGCAGTCTCAGTACTTTGATACGGTCTAAATTCTGACTGGAATTCCTCATAGATACCATTTTTCTCTAAGAAGGAACATAGTTGTGAGGATACTACCTTTTCTAGGATCTTTGACAGAAAAGGGAGACTCGAGATTGGTCTATAATTAACTAATCCGTTACGGTCAATTTGTGTTTTTTTAATGAGAGGCTTAATAAAAGCCAGTTTGGAGGGTTTTGGGAAATATCCTAAAGACTGATGAATTAATAATATTTATAAGTAGGGCTGGACGATATGGCCAAAATTTATATTACGATATATCTCTTAATTTCGGTCGATACAATATAATTCCGATATTGATATGAACAATATTTAAAAAAGCCTCAGAAAAACTGTCAAGAATGGCATAAACATAAGACTCTCAGACTCGCCTTATTAATATTAATATCTTTAACTTTAAATTATAACATAATTGCTGCAGAAAACAGGGAAAAAAAGAGTGAGCAACAACAAAAACACATGTTTCTGGAGGGCCTTATTGAAAATGCAAATTCATTCTCTTCATGTAGGAGGTGCTTTTGGAGCGACAGAAACAGTGGTTCCCTTTCAAGGGAACTTCGAACTGCGTCCTCTAGGGGTCGCTATGGGGAACGCCTCGTCGTGACCCGTGTCTGAAGCATACATTGAAAAAACACCAACAACACGTTGGCCGGCGACATCCCGTGACGTCACTACCGGTGCGACTATAGTATAAATAGGCGCCGGGAGAACATGTCATTCTCTTCTTCGTCTTCATTGACTGTTTTGTTTGAAGCGTGCATTTGAACGTGGTAAGAGTGATCTATTATTATGGCGAGTTCTAGCAGAGCGTTTAGAGGGTGT